TCTCTCTCTCTCTCTCTCTCTCTCTCTCTCTCTCTCTCTCTCTCTCTCTCTCTCTCTCTCTCTCTCTCTCTCTCTCGCGCGCGCGCGCGTGCGTGCGTTCACTCGTTCAAAGTGCGTGTGCAACACCTCTCGAAGTGAACATGGGGAACGCTTGACGCGCACTGCACGACTGTGTCGCGTGCGAACGCTCCCCGGGCTATATATCGCCCCGCGACGAAACGCGGACCCTTTTTTTTTTTTTTTTTTTTTTTTTTTTTCGGGACTACAAACTCCGAGGAGGCTCCCCTGAACACCGCTCGACGCCCTTGTGGCCTCAGAGGGACCCCCCCAGCCCTGACAGACCCCTGCGCAAACGCGTCAACTTCGTTCAGGGGCGTTCAGTGAACGCGCGCTCATAGCGTTAAAAAACTGAACGCGGAACGCGCGTTCAATGAACGCGCGGTAACATAGGTAGACGGGTATCATCCCAAGTCTCAGCGTGCCAGTGTGTCGTAGATGTACCCGACATAGCAGTAACCTAATCAACCCGTCGACCTCCTTGGTCGGAGGGTATTACTACCGATCCTAATCATCACAGCGCGCGTCATAATGACGCGTGCTCATACGAAATTTCCTCAGCGATTTGCCCTGGTCTCAATAATTGAGGAAATCGTTTTATAGTGTCGCGCGAAGAACGCGTGCATTTTTAAGTTCAGACCGACTCCGTCATGGTGGTCGGTGCAATCAATGTGTCGACTGCAAAGACATGGCCAAATACCCTTGCAAGGGTATTTGGTCCAAGAACACATCAACCCCGCATCCTCAACACCAGCTTGTCGGATCGCCCGACTCTCTACTCACTGTCTTTTTGCTCGTTAGTCGATCCTCTCGACCGCGCTAACTCCCAAGTGGATTAGAGAGACAATTAATCGTGCTTGCGGTATTTATAGCTTGTGCATCAGCGCGCAATAATCGGGATTGCCCGAGAAGGATATGAGAAAGGAAGGAGGAAGTGCCTCCGGCTGCATAGCTGGGCCGCGGCATGGGGGACGTAGCCTCACTCCACACTTCGATCCAGTCAAACACCGATCCGACCAATGAGATAGAGAAGGGAAGCGCATGCGGCGACGCAGGAAAGAGTATCAAGAAAGGGGAAGATTACAGTTACACCCTCGCAGAAGAGGAGAAAGCAAGAAGAGATTACAATTGAGATTGGAATTTGGGTGCGGCGAGAACAGAGCGCAGGCCCAGACTACAACATGATAGCACTCTCCTTGGGGCGTCGGGTCATTCTTTGTCTCGTTTGGTACCGTCCGAGAAACATACTCGACCACGTGCTCCTGTCCGTCCTTTCCTTTCTGAGCCAGGATAGCGGATATCGCTTCGGGCTACCAATTGGTAATGAGTTGGAATTGTCGCTCGGGATCAGGCCGAATTAAAATAGGTGCCGAGGCCAGGGCCTCTTTGAGTGTGGAAAAGACCCGTTCACACTCCTCGTCCCAGTTCAGCGGCTGATCCTTCCGTAGAAGGTTTGTCAGAGGTCGAGCAATTGTCGTGAATCCCTTGATGAACCACCGGTAATATGAGGCCAGTCCTATAAAGGCTCGAACCTGCGTCAGTGATGTAGGTGTGGGCGCTTCCCGAACCGCCTTGACTTTCCTCGAATCCGGTCTCAAGCCTCCTCGGGTTACCACGTACCCAAGGAACGAGATGTCGGGTAGAAAAAAATTATTTTTCTCCAACGCGATCTTGAAGCCGACGTCCCGCAGCGCTCCAAGTTTCCATTTGATATGCAGTGGGTATCCATGGAATGACTCATAATATACCAAAATGTCGTCCATGTACACAATGATGCAAAAATTGATCATTCCTTGGGCCAGCCTGGTCTTGTTAATGAAGTTTTGAAAAGTGACATTCATCACTCTCGGGAAAGTCGTCGGTGCATTGCATATGTCAATCGGACAACGAACCCACTGCCACGTGCCTTCAAACAACACAAAGGTCGTCTCTGGCCGGTCTTCTACTCTTATCAGGATATGGTGGAACCCATGCCGAATATCAAATTTACTAAAATAATTAGCACACCCAATCACATCCAGCAAATCATCAATTCGGGGGAGAGGGTACACATATTTTATCATGATATCGTTTAATTTTGGATAATTAATGCAAATGCGGATAGATCCATTCTTCTTTGGAAGTAAGACTACCGGGAAAGACCGAGGACCTGTGGCGGGTTCGATCCAACCGTTGGCTTCGAACTCGCGGATACGTTCTAATGTCATCTTCCGTTCCGTGAGGGAGTACCTGTAAGGCTTGCAGTGGATTGGTGGGTGGTTACTGGTCTGAATCTCGTGATGTATGACCCAAGATAGCCCAATGTCTGCATCCTTGATGCTAATAGTGTCTCGATACTCAATGAGAATATCCGCGATTAGTTGGTGAACGACACGCATTTTGACACATGTAATTCGTAGGGTTGTCTGTGAATGATGACCGACATGTGTTTAGTGCGTATCGCTTTCATGTCCCGGGGCGACAGAGAAGAGATAAAAGACTTATCCGATCGCCACGAGAATATGGTGGCCACCATCTGGGCCTCTTCTTCTTGGATGGCCACATGTTCCTCAGGAGTTATCCCATCCTCGATGTCCCGAGGGTCCACTGACTTCTCAGCGACTTTTATCCCGATTTCGAATAGCGAGGCTTCGGGGTACCTAGGGGGTTCCGAAGCCTGTATTTCCGCTCCTAGGTGCAGCAATCGCACCTCCTTTTCCATTGTGAGAAGCGATCGGGGAGGTAAGTTTGTAACATCACAAAACGAGCGTTTGTCCAAGTATCATGGCAACAGCGGGGTAGCTCCTTCGTACAAGGTTCGAGGGGGTTCCAAAGAATCGGGCATCCTTGACACCTGTACTAACGATTGTCCCATGATAAGGGCCCAGGTCCGTCGGGCTCTCTTTTCCCTAAGCACAAACGTCTTTGTCGTTTTCTGTCGGACTGGGTAACGGATTACCTTCCGTGTCAGTTCTTGGATCATCGGGTCTGTCTCTTCTTCACTCTCTGAGTCCTCAGGTGGTGAGGACACCTGTCCCTCACTGGATGTTTCTGAATCGTCAGCCCGTTCTTCCCTTGTGACCATTTGGATCGATCCAACGGTGTCCAAATATGTTCCACGTGCCGGGCCGACCATTGCACGGAGGGTGACACGCATAGGGATTAGGGCAGGTAGTCCCAGGAGAACATCGTACAAGTTTACGTTGAGGACTACTACGTCTCCCAAGGCGTGAACTGTTCCCAGCCTAAAAGCGACATTTGTCACTCTCCTGACCACTCAGATCTTTTCCTCATCTGCGAAGATCAAACGGTCTCCCTCAGTGAGTGGAATCAGATCTTTCTGTCCGCCTTCCCTTTCTACTACTCACAGGGATATGGCTAATACGACTACTCCAGAATTGATGATCGCGCTATAGGGAACCCCCCAGATTTCCACGTCACACTCTGCGGATTTCCACGGGATGGCTTTGATACGTAAAAAGTGATTGCTTTTGTGAATGAGCCCCAGGCGCACGGGTTCTGAGGTTCCTCGTGCGTCAGGTTTTGCTTCGCTCGCAGGGGCTTTCCCTTTTACTGCGGCCAGCTTGGTGAGTGCGAACCGTTTTTGATTGGCTTTATAGTGTTGTAGCATGCAATGATTAGCTTGTTCCGATATGGAAAGAAGGTGTCTGATCGGGAGTGCGATGTGGTGATCGATGTGCTCGATATCGAGTGATCGAACGATATCGAGCACATCGATCTCCCCGGTAATTAATGCAGGACCCTAGGATTCCAT